TTTTTTTTTTTTAAAGTAATTTTTTTACATTCTCTTTATTGTATTTTTTATATCAGTACTAATTATAGCTTGCATATGTATACTTTTTTTCCTTTTAAACAAAAAGTAGTAACATCATGTTAGTATTACACTTAAAACTAAAAAAAATACAGAAAAAAAGTGAGGGGAAGAGGCAAAAAACAGAAAAAAAAAAAATAACTAAATAAGGGGTGGGGTGATTTTGAGGTGCTTCTACTAGAGTTCAATCACTGCTCTTTTGTTAATGTTCTCAATAAATGGATTCTATATTGCATGGAAATTCTTACTTTCATTTTTAAGGGAAAGTCTTAGCTTCTCAAGTTGCAGGCAAGACATGACATTTTTTATTAATGTGGAGCAACGTGAAGGATCTTTTCGTTTCCAATTCAGTAAAATCAATCTATGTACCAAAAGGGTTATAAATCGAAATCGCTGTACATAGATTATTAAATTATTCTGCATCTTTACCAAACCAAATATAGCTAAAATAGGCCAAGCAAACTTTTAATTAATTTTTTTTTTTTTATCAATTGTCGTCATTTGAAAAAGAGAAGTATAAAAAGCAACAACAAACAGTATGAGCTGAGGAAAATCTGATAACAATTCTTTTACTACAAATCGCTAAATTTCTACATAAATTTCTCTGTATACGGTTTTATTTTTTTTAATTAAGAAAACAATGATTAGCTGTATGATATTCAATAAAACAATGAAAAATAATTTGGGCCAATAACTTTAAGTAAGTACTATTTACTATGCAATAACATATCTGTCATCTCTTGTTCATAATCTGTCATCATGTACTGTAGATGCTGAAAACACTAGAAATATGCATGCTTAAAAATATGTACAGTAGTAGACAAAACCACATAACTTATTCAAACTTTTTATCTTTGCACATGCATTTAGGTGTAGCTTAATATTGAAAATGATTCAAAGGTTATTTATTCGAATCACTAAGTCCTACAAAACACCAAAATAATATAAGCGAAAGAGACATTTGAAGTGAAAATTCTATATTAATTTCAATTTAATTGTTACTTCAGACAAAAGTAGCTTTCTTAAAAAGATGACTTGTTGACTTGTCAATTGCTCAAGCTCCTCCCATCATTTAACATACACTCAATCTCAATCAAATACCAGCCCTCAATCAATCCCAGATGTGCATAATATTCATCATCACATACAAATATCAGACCTGATTACTTTCTTATTGATTACTAAACACATGGCAATGGTCAACAAACGCTGTGACTCACCAGGGTCATTGTGAGAATGGGGCACAACGAAGACTTGGAGTGGCTCATTGTCCCATTCATTCTCCTGATAAGAGATATCAAAGCCTTGTTTCCACACCCCGCCATCAGGGTTATCAAAGCGGAGCAAATCATAAACATCCAGCATCTGAAATAAAGCACATCAGAACACCATTTTTAATTGATGCTGTCATAATTCCAACTTTTTATTTCATTTGAGATATGTGCATTAGCCTATTTTTGAAAAACATAAAATACATTGCTCCGTGTACATTTCATTGCACGTTTCAGATGACAAATCCACCAGAGGGATCTGTCAAAACTTCTCACAATCTGTAGTAGACAAGTCTTGACTTTTTCAGAAAAAAACAGTTTAACAGTCATAACAAACTAAAGATCTTAACAGAGCAACTCAGACATATACAAGAACAAAGTACAAGAAAAAACTGTAGAAAATACAAGGTGAAATAATAATAATAATAGATAAAGTTATTGCACTAGATAAAGATTAGTGTTATTGCATCCAAACTCTGGAACTTTCTACCACGCTCACTCCTCTCTGCTAATAATATCTCTGAATTCAAATCCTTACTTAAGACTCACTTTTTTTCTGAATGCTTCGCTTCTGATCTGCCAAACTGACCACTTAATCTGATCCACCACTACTCTGCTCATATGTCTCTTAGGTCTTGTTTGTGTAATTCCAGTTTGTTATATTTGACCTAATGTATGTTTGTTTATCTTTTTGTTGCATTCCTTGTAAAGTGTCCTTGAGCTCTGGAAAGGCGCTATATAAATAAAAATTAATATTATTATTATTATTATTATTATAAATATATGAATGATAAAATAAATAGATTTAGGAGTGGGTTGGAGGGAGCTTACAATTCAAGTATTTGGAATAAAATCTGTTCAAAATATGACAGGAATGGTCTCCAAACTTTAAAGAATCTATTATTTGAGCCTTGGGTGCGGCTTTAGATATGCTAAAACATTTTCTACCCATTAAGTATGTGTTGGGGGTTTAGTTGACTTTCACTGCAGGAGTATAAGCCTTCAGGCCAAGAAAGAAGAAAAAGACTAGTGCATTTAATTGACTTGCTGGTAGTCCAAGGTTTTCAGGTGTCACACCAAATATTGCTATTGCTGGATCTGGTTGTATCTCCTTTTCATTTTCACAATCTGAAGTGCATTATTTAGGGTACATTCATCATTTCAGTTACATGAACTTATATTAATTAAGGTAGATTAATTTGATGATTTAGAACCTCAAAGCCTCAATTAATCTAACACTTTGCTTCAATTTTGATTGTTAAAGAATTATTTTATTTTTGATGTAGCTATTTGTTTTCTTTTACCTTCTCATTGTTCATTATGTTTTCATTTGCTCTGTAAATATACTCAACTATTACACATGTCATTTTCTAATTATGAATACTTTTGATAAATACTTCAAGTTGAAATCAAAGCACAAATTGCTTGAAATCTGGGGGGGGGTTCATTTAAGTTTCATAAAAAAAATTTTTTAAAAGTTTAAAATAACTGATTTGTTTTTTTGCAAACAAAAAATTTGAATATTTCATAGTCATAAGTAGGAAATAACCAGCATCCCTTGCAAGCAAAAGTAAAGTTTTAATAAACATCAGAGAACTAAATATCTCTATATATTTAAATATATATATAAATATTTAATTATATAACTCGGTTATGCTACCAGTTCATTCTGATAATGTGACTACTTATAACTTGGGGAATAAGCTGAAGGAAAATAAGTGAACAATACATTATAACTCAGTATAAAAAAAATTAAACTGTTGCTACTAATAATATGTCAGGTTTCTGAAAATGACTTACATTGTTTGCGTTTGTTCAAACTGATAATAAATAATGATAAAAATATGATTTAGAATATGAAAGAATACGATTTTCCTGATGTATGAAAGACTTGCATTCTCTATTTTTTACATATTAACAATGTATTCACCGTGCTTGTCAGGGAAACTCTCAAGTACTCAGTTTGTCCACACACAGTAATATTTTTTTAAAGGGGATGTATCATGTATTTACAGAGTTTTAAAAAAACAAATAACCGACACCGAGAAATTCTCAGAGGTTATGAATTTCAGTTTTGGTTTCTTTTCAGTTAATCGACCAGACCTAATTTGATTACAAAACCATATACTTTAGTTTATATATATATATATATATCTTTACTGCATTTTAACTTTACACTCAGATAACAGAGGTATTAATTTAGTGTTGAGCAAAGAACTGAATAAAACAATGCTTTATTTGTTGATAATATTTCCCTGTAAATATCATTAGTCTGAAAAGGAACTAAATTTAAAGGCGTAGTACTGCCCCTTAGCATTTATTTTACCTAAACTCCAGTCAAACATTAGTTGAAGTTTTTGCAGTTTAACCAAAAAATATAGGCTGAAGAAAATTTTTCCAATAAGCCCTTGATGCATATTTCTGTTCAATTAATTAGTATTGTTATTGATTTATCACTTTTTATTCAAATGCAAGAGTCAGCTCACAATATAATACAACAATATCTATTAATTATTAAAACATTTTCACATTTTCGCGGTGATTTCAGGCCAGGGCAAAAGAAAGTGTTGATAAAAATATTAAATGAATGAGTCTAATGGCACATTTTTAGATTGGCTTCTCAGGATTTCATCTGTGATGAATATACAGGTATGTGCCAATAAATTAGAATAGCAAGGGAAAGTCCATTTATTTAAATTACTCGTTTCAAAAGTATAACTTGTTCGTTCTATTAGTTCACTACACACAAAGTGAAATGTTTCAAGCCTTTATTTGTTTCAATTTGAATGATTATGGATTAAAGATGAAAAAAACACATGGACCTCCTTTTTGCAATGATTACAGAGGACATCAGCTCAAGTTGTTTTGATATCGGCCTTCAGCTCGTCTGCATTTCGGTGTCTCCGTTCTCTATTCTTCCTCTTGACAATTGCCTATAGATTTTCAATGAGGTTTAAAGGGTCACGAAACACCAAAACACATTTTTTGAGCTGTTGACAGTCGTATATGTGTCCCACACTGCTAAAAACACTATTAGGACACCTATATTTCACTAAAAAGTGTAAATTGGTTGTTTTTGCGTTATTTCAAGCAAATTCGTACTTCCTGTTTGAAACGAATTTTTGAAGCTGCGTCACGGTCATGACATAATAGCGTGTATTCCAGCGTGTAGACTGGACGTCTGTGCCAGAGTGAGTCTTATTACATCTTAACGTGTGATGCATTAACGCATGAGTAAGGCTTGGTTCAAACCAATCATCGCGCTCTATTGTGCAACTTCATTAATATTCATTACTGTCAAAGTGTTTAGACGACACTCACACCACGTTGTATTGGCAAAACAAGCGTGAAGTGTTGCTTTTATAGTTTGCTGCAGTTAAGTTTCGTTTTCATTTTCTCTCTGTGAGAGCTCAGAGTCACGTGTGGATTAACAGTGTACGCGTCGCGCGACAACAATAACTTACGTGTCTAAGGAGGATTATTGTTTACCTTAGAGCTGTTCTCGTCTGCAAACGCTGAGATCTGGATTAGTTTGTAGTATTCTCTTCATAAAGACGCGGCTCTAGTTGCTGGTGATTGTTCTGTCTCTACAGATTTGGTAAGTGAGCAACCAGTGCTCTTTGTTTATTCAGTTTGTTCGTATCTAACAAACTATTACACAGAGTGTAAACACGTTAGCACCACAACCAAACTTTAACCTCGTGTAGGGTTTTTACCACATTCAGTGACCGGAATAACACGCACGGCTTTCTGACACTACCTGCCGTGTGCATCTAAGTTTCTGGGAAATGCGGAGGGTTTTTTTCTCTCATTCGCCGTGCGGTATCAAACATTGCATGAAAAATACACTCTTAGAGCAGCTCCTGAATGAAAGAGCCAAACTGCAGTTAATGTCCACCATTTAATAATTTGGCAAATAATTAGACTACAGATGTCCATGTAGGTTAAACACCATCACTTTCTCCTGTATGTGTGTGTGTGTGTATTTGTGTGTATTTTGACTCTGAAACTCGCGCGTGCCCAAATAGACACTCCCACACCATCCCACTTTTCTTCCTCCGACACTCCCCCCTAAACAGAGCTGGACACGCCCACTTTTCTGACTTTTTCCAAAGTAGAGGTGTGAAAACACCCTGCTGAAACGAGGGGGTTTCATGGCCCTTTAAGTCAGGTGAGTTTCCTGGCCAATTGAGAACAGGGATAAAGGGATACCATGGTCCTTAAACCAGGTATTGGTAGCTTTGGCACTGTGTGCACGTCTCAAGTCCTGCTGGAAAATAAAATCATCATCTCCAAAAAGCTTTTTCGACAGCTCTAGGAAGTGCTCTAAAACGTCCTGGTATAGAGCTGTCAGTGCCGTGCAAAGACTTTGATGTGCTGAAAAAAACAAAAAAGGCAAATGGACTGTGGACTTCATAAAAAGACAATGGACCCACACCAGCATATGGCATGGCTCTCCAAATTATAACTGGCTGTGGAAACTTCACACTGGACTTTAAGCAGCTTGACTCTTGTGTCTCTCTGTTCTTCCTCCTGTCTCTGGGATCTTGATTTCCAAATGAAAGACAAAATTTGCTTTCATCTGTAAAAGAAGGGAACACTGCGCAATAAACCAGTAGTTTTTCTCTTAAGCCCAGCACAAACGTTATTTTTGGTTCAGGAATGGCTTGACACGTGGACAGCTGTAGCCCATGTCATGCAGATGTCTGTATGTGATGGTTCTTGATGCTCTGACACCAGCCTCAGTCAACCTTGCTTGACAATCCTCTCAAGGCTGTGGTCATACTTGGGCACCTTTTCCAGCCACATTTTTTCCTTTCTCTTAACACTCTATTAATATACTTAGATACTGCACTCTGTGAGCATCCAATTTCTTTTGCAATTTTCTTAAGACTTTTAAAATCCTTTTATGAGTTATGGAGGGTTCCAATGATGGTCTTCTGTCTTTGTGTGAATTAGCAGACTAAGGCCCCGTTTACACTAGTGCGTTTTAGTTTTAAAACGGCGTTGTAGAATGAAAACGATCCGCGTCCACACTCGCGGGCAAGCGCTCCAGCATTTCTACCCAGATGAGAGCTCTGCTTGTCGGACTGCTCATCAAGCATCTCCCGCTGGATCTAATCTCACTATATTTGCTAAATGTGATATTTCATTCATGTTGTTGTCTTTATCTAACGACATAGGCCAATTCCCTGACTTTGGTCATTGGAATCTATTAAGTTACTTGTTCACGGGTAACATGTTTTGGTTAAGCGCAAAGATAAGTTAATGATTAATCCAGGTACATTGACTGATCGCTTGCCTTTATTTCCTACAATGTATAAACTTATTGTATGTTATACTTTTATAATTATCGATTATTAAAACTGATATTTAGCAAAAGAGAGGGTGCGTTTCGTATTTTCACTGAAATTGAAAGGAGGCAGTTGTTATCGGCTCCGTTTTGTTATAAATATCCACACAGTGAAGATGACGCTCATATATGCAGCACGGCGCCTCAACATTCCTGCTGTCTGTTAAGTTGCTAATATTAAAAAGAAAATAGGCATTTCCTTAAATCATGTTTACATTTTATTGTTGAGAAAGTGAAACAACGTAGCCAAGGTGATGTGAATGAAGTTGTAAAGTACACTGTTCCCTTTGAAGATTTACCCGTGTCCTCGGTATGTTTTCCATATCAAACTGAGAAGGGGGAGACTGCAGCCTTGATCAAACTTGCGAAGTCTTAACTTACAAGAAGAGGATGCGACACTGAACTGTGTGTGGGCTACTTAATATTGAGGAAAAGCCCCAATCAGATAGGCGAACGTTTGCAGCCCCGCCTCCGTTTTCAGATGTCTCCGTCTTTCCCCATCCACACTGAGACGGAGCAGCAGCGTTTTAGAATGAAAACGGCCTTTCCAGCGTTTTCCAAAAGCTCTGTTTTCGGCGCTCGAGAACTCCGGCGTAGTGTGGACGGATGGCGTAACCGTAGCAAAACTTATGCGTTTTCAAACTAAAACGCACTAGTGTAAACGGGGCTTAAATTGAGAAACAAGGAGCCTACAATGTTGAACTTAGTCATGATGTTCTGATTTTGTGAAATACTGGATTTGAGTTTTTCATCTTTAATCGATAGTCGCTAAAATTGAAATAAATGAAGGCTTGAAATATTTCACTTTGAGTGTAGTGAACTAATATAACACACGTTATGTAATGTAACTATTGAAAAACACCACACAACACAGGTGTTTGGGTTTTTCTCTGTGACAGAAAAAACAAAAAAAAATCCAGTTTGGCAATAAAAATCGCAGATGCAAACGCACATATGCAAATATATGCAAAATTTAGTCAGCTGTCAGTGACAAAAATTCAGAAGATGTTTCTCAACCTTCTCACAGCAGCCAGTGGGGTCTTTCTAGTGCTAATTTATCCGTATTTACTCTAATACTGCTCTGGAAAACAGACTTTTAGAAAGTTTTCACACCATTAAAGGGGGCTGTACACAATCGATTTTCTCTCTGTCTGCTTATACGACTTTCTTTTTGAATTAATGAGTCTCTTCTTGATTCACCTTTTAAAATAGTTAACCACCATGCTGTTAATACGGCCTTTTTGTGTACATTTTATAGTAAAATAATTTAAAAACATTTTGCTTTGGAGGAAGATTGTTTTAACAACTCTATCAACCGCTTTTTTAACCTGGTCTCATTCTTCATCTAAAATTATAGTATGTAAACTATGTGAAGATCTAATTTACTGAAATGTCTTAAAACACCATTATTTTAGTAACAATATGCAATTATGATTTTATTTTGAACCGATAATCCCTCTTTTATCTCATAACTGCTTCTTCAAATATGCACAACTAAAAAAGCATGACTGATAAATGCATTTTGTGCCCCAGAACACTCAAAATTAAACAATACGATTACATTATGAGTAATGATTTACCAACTGCATAAATGTTATTCATTTTAAGGGTTTAAAGTGTAATTGTTTTTATCATTAAGAAATCCTCGGATTGTTTGGAAAAAAATGTAATCATTTCATATTAAGCACATATATATATACACATATACATATATATATATATATATATATATATATATATATATATATATATACACATATACATATATATATATATATATATATATATATATATATATATATATATATATATATATATACACATATACATATATATATATATATATATACATATATATATATACATATACATATATATATATATACATATACATATATATATATATATACACATATACATATACATATATATATACATATACATATATATACATATATATATATATATACATATATACATATATATATATATATATATACATATATATACATATATATATATATACATATATATATACATATATATATATATACATACATATATATATATACATATATATATACATATATATATATATATATATATATATACATACATATATACATATATATATATATATATATATATACATACATATATATATACATACACATATATATACATACACATATATATATATATATATATATACACATACACATGTATATTCACAGTTAAAGTCTAAATTTAAAGCCCTCCTGTAAGTTTCATTTTAAATATTTCCCAAATTATGCTCAACAGAGCAAGGAATTTTTCACAGGATTTCCTGTAAAAAAATATTTTTATCTGAAGAAAGTCTTTTTGGTTTATTTTGGCTAGAATAATGCAGTTGATCTTTTTAAACCAATTTAAGGTCAATATTATAAGCCACCTTACGCAATATTTGTTTGATTGTCTACAGAACAAACTATCGTTATTGACTTGCCTAATTACCCTTACTTGCCTAGTTTACCTAATTACCTAGTCAAGCCTATCAATGTCCCTTGAAGCTGAATAATAGTGTCTTTAAAAATATCTGGTAAAATAGTGTGCACCGTTATTATGACAAAAACAAAAGAAATCAGTTATTAAAAAGCTAGGAGAGTTAATATTTAATAGTTAAACGTAGATTAAAAATTAAAAAGTATAAATTTTTTGTGATTGTATTAGGAAAGCAAGTACAAAGTTTTACCCACTGCCCTGACACAGCAAGAAGAAGAAATTCTCATTGTTGAGCTCTAAAAGTAAACAATTGGTTGACTTAATCTTAAAATGTCTTTTCCCTCTATACCTGTACTCCATCTGCTGCTTTAGAGTAGGTCCGTCCAGCAAACTGGCAGTCATCTGAGAGGATGGGGAGCAGCGCAGGAGCAGGGGGCAGCAATTCCAAATTCCCCTGACTCATGTTCGCTTCAGGAAACATCTTCCCATCTTTCACAGTTTCCCTCAGGTTAATTACAGAGTCTCTTATGTTGCCGATGATCTCATTGTTCTCCGCAAGCAGTCTCTCTAAGTGGTCTATTTTGTCCTGCAGAATACCAATCTGTCCCTGTAGAACACAGAAAAAACCCTGAGTAACACTTTTAACACTGACCTGGGTAGGATTATGTAGAACTTCAGCACAAAATCCAGACAATGACTTAACAGTTACTACACAACACAAACACAAATTACTCAAACAGGGTTTCTACAGGTTTCCCCAAGTCAAACTTAAGACTTTTTAGGACCTTTTCAGACTTATATAGGGCTAGATGTACTGTAATTAGTCACTTTTTAGCCATTTATTTTAAGTTATGTGTTAAAACAAGCAGGCCTTAGTTGTATACATACTGTACGTTTTTGTTCAACATAACTTAAAAAACTAAATGAATACTAAATTAAAAAGCAAATGTTTGCACAACAGACTAAAGTTATAATATTAGTTATGAGTAGCTATAAAACTTTTGAGATGTGTTGTTTGTGATTGGATGTGTCTTGGATCCACTCGGTAGCCTTACATAAACAACGGAAAATTAAGACCCCTTTAAAAAGATTTAAGACCTACAAGACAATATTTCAGTGAGTTTAAGACTTTAAGCCCTAGAATTGTCTTTTTTTTTATTTAAGACATTTTAAGACCCCACAGATACCCTGTTAAGAGCACATTGCAGACTGTTTATGAAGCTTTCAGAGTTTAAAAATAATCATTTGTATTTGTACACAATACAAGAAGTCAAGTTATTTTTTGTTGTTCTTGCAAACTTGCATAGGCGACAAGACTTTTGTTGGGTTGTGTATTTCATACTTTATTTAGTGGATCACAAACCAACTGACAAGTACACTTCAAGGCTAATCTTACAACGTCCACCTTCTCAAAATGATTGAAAACAATAAAATAAAAAATACTATAGTGTTTACTGAACATTATTATATAATTAAATGTATAGAGTACATATACTATAAATGTATATACTACAGTATTTACCACCCCCATGTAATGGTACAGCAAACTGTAGTATTACCTATCATGAACTGATAAACGGTAATAAATACTGCAGAATACAGCAGTTTTTACTACAGTAAGCTGTGGTGTATACTTTAGTATTTATCCAATAACTTGTATAGAAAATACAGTATTGGGTAATTTGTTTACATTACTATAGTGCTACAGCTACTGCCACAACAGATTCATTCAATTACCTTTCTGTAGTATGTTTAAAAAACATTAGGGGTATTTACTATGAATGACTAACTTTGTTTAATGTTTGCACTTCGAAGAAATTTGGAAGAAAAAAAACAACTATCGACGCTAAGGACAGCAAGGAAATGACCTTTGAGATCAGTTCACCGTCCAAAACTAAACTAATCTCTCTTTTAAGTCGACTTCAAGAGTTTCGTGATGTATATCAATGAATTACAAATAAAAGTCACATGATCAAAGTAGTAGTGATGCGGAAAATACGGTTACCGATCACAGCCATTTTAATTCTGTGCATGTGTATTATTTTAATACATTAATGTCACTTGGAAAGAAACCATCAAACGAGTAGTTCAAACAACTGAAAAGTGTATTTTCCTCAGCGCATTCAGCAGTCTGAACACACACACAAAAATCATACATTATGTTTACAATTTATGGATAACGTCAATCATAAGACAGCGGTCGGTAACGTTACTTACGTTCTGAATCCTCTCTCCGTTCGGATTTTTGCTGTGATCAATATGATCCAACATCAGGTACAAGGAAAATACCACCACACAGAATATGGCACTGCCAAAAACTGTAAACTGTCTGCTGAGCTTCATTTCTCAGACGAGTCCAGCACATTCACACCAAAGGCAAACTTTTAAAGGCTTGTGTCGAGCGGTGGTCCCGTAGGTGACAGAAGGCAGAAGTGAAAAAGAAAGCTCTTCTCGCCAGGAAGAGGAGTTGCGCGGATTGGGACACCTTCCCTTCTCTGTCTCGCGGTGGAAGAAATGTCGCGGTGTGAGTCCACGGACTGAATCCAATGCGATATGTCTTCAAAGTTTTGACGATGCGGAAGAGTTTGTGTGATTCAGCAAATTGTGACGGTCTACAGGCAAAGGAAAAGCGTCAACCCTGCCCCCTTCCTGCACTCACTACTGTGCCTCCGACAGAGTAAAAGTGAGCGTGGAGTTGCGCCGCCTAACGAGTGAACACATCACTCACACAACACACACACGCAAACTCAGGTGAGCACATACACTCAACAAATTTACGTCTGCTGTTTGTTCAAACTACTTAAAATGAGCTGAAACAACACAACTCTTTTTCGTATTAGGTTTCCACTTAAATGTCTAAATACTAATAGGTTAACTGAATTTCTTCATGTTGTCCCAACACATATCAAAATTGTTTTAGGTGTACATTTCAGTCAAAATTCTACCCTGGTTTTGCTGCTTTCATCATAAGAGACAGAAAGAGAAGTGGTCGGCTTAAATTATTACACCCCCACAAGAAAATGCATATTTTTATCAATGTTTTGTAAATATAGCTAAAAAATTATGCATTTAAATAAAACTGTTTTATTAAACATTTATATACATTCAAATCAGAGTTTGTTTACCTGGCATCTTTAGGAATAGAAACATAACACATTTAAAATCAAATGAGCTATCACAACAGCAAAAAAAAAAAAACTACAAAACTATAACTGAATTTAGAAATTGTTTGTTTTTCTTGATTCATTCCTGTTTTTAATTTGTCTTGTTTTATTTTAATTTTATATTTTTTTCCGGCAACGCAGTGGCGCAGTAGGTAGTGCTGTCACCTCACAGCAAGAAGGTTGCTGGTTCGAGCCTCGGCTGGGTCAGTTGTGTGTACTTTGCATGTTCTCCCTGCGTTCGCGTTGGTTTCCTCCTGGTGCTCTGTTTTTTCCTCACAGTCCAAAGACATGTGGTACAGGTCAATTAGGTAGGCAAAATTGTTCGTAGTGTATGAGTGTGTATGGATGTTTCCCAGAGATGGGTTGGAAGCTGGAAAGGCATCCGCTGCGTAAAACGTGCTGAATAAGTGGGCGGTTCATTTTGCTGTGGTGACTTCGGATTAATAAAGGGACTAAGCCGAAAATGATTGAATGATGTTTTTTCCTCTACATATTAATTTGGGTGTTTTTGTCCTGTTTTTCTTTTTTGCTTTGTTTTTTTCCCGCTACATCAGTTTGGGTGTACTAATTTTGCAGAGTTATCTTTAAGTTTTTTTTTGTTAGATTAGTTCCAGTTTTGTCTTTGGTACTGACTAATTAGTTTAGATTATTCACAAAATGCAGTTTAGGTCTAAAAATACAAAATCAGTAAATGCAAGATATAGGTATAAGTTATAAGTGCACTTACAGAAAACTATGACAAATATTTAAAGATGGATGCACTATCAACATAATATACAGGTTGTATTAAGTAATCAGAGATTTACAAATAAATGAACAATGTACAGGTTACTATTAATAATCAGGAATGTGCAAATAAATACAAACATAATATACAGGTTGTTATTTAGTATAATCAGGAATTTCAAATAGATATGTAAATATCATAAATTTACAAATGTATATATGCACCGGATATTTACATTTACAAACGGATATATTTGTAACGATATTAATGTATTATTGTAAGGCATCCTATAGAAATATGGCGTTTATGTAAACCAGGGCCAGAAGAATCTGCTGACCTCTTTGTGCTATTTATGCACAGAATTTGTAAAAATATGCTAATTTATGGCGAAGGGTTTCAAGAGTGTAAGAGCTGACAACCTACACACAAAATAAAAAAACTTTTTTTGAAGACATAAAAACCAACTTACAATTAGAACCATTTGTTTCATAAACAAAGCTACAGCAGGTTTCTCATATAATACATCCATTAATAGACAGAAAATATTACTCACATTTTTTGTAAATTATTGAAATACTTGCATATTATTCTGTAATCACACTGAAATTAATATAAAAATTAATAACTATATATTTACATGAGTAAATAAATAAATTGAATGATAGGCTTAAAAATTAAGGAAAATATGTGGATTTCTGCAGGTGCAGATTTTGTGTGGGTGTAATGATGCCAAACATTCATTAATTTTCCTTTGGCTTAGTGCCTTATTTATTAGGGGTCACCATAGCAGAATGAACTGCTAACTCTGGCATATGTTTTATGCAGCAGATGCTCTTCCAGCCACAACACAGTACTGGGAAACACCCATACACTCTCACATTCACACACACACTTAAAAACAATGGCCAATTTAGTTTATCCAATTCACTTTTAGCACATCTTTGGACTGGGGGAAACTGGAGCACTCAGAGGAAACCACGTAAACACAGGAAGAACATTCAAACTCCACAAAGAAACAACAACTGGCCCAGCTGTGACTCTAACCAATAACCTTATTGTTGTGAGGCAACAGTGCTAACCACTGAGCCACCATGCAGCCCATAAATAAACATTTACTTATTAACTGGTATTGTTTCATATTTCAATATATTTGCAATTAATTTTGAATTATACAATTATGGTGGCCAAAAGAACTCAATCGCACTGCAAGTCAAGAAAATACATGCAAATAGAAAAGAACAAAAAGATTGAGAGAACATCTTCAAGTCCAAATTCTCACAACACAAGATAAAACAGAAACGTGCTTGCAAGATTTTTCTATATGCAAAACACATTCATATATAAAAACACTTACAAATTTAAAAATAAAAAACCTTCTTCAATTTGACACACAAGTATAGAAACATTTTTCAAATTGCACAGACCACAATGGAAATGTGTTGGAGACCCCAAAACAGTCAAACACAGCTGCTTCCTGTTTACATATTTAACACCTAAGAGTAGTCTACCATACTTGTTACAGTTGTTCTGAGACTAACTCTTGCTAGCATGGGATAAAAAAAAAACTTTTCATTTCACAATAATTGTGCCATTTCTTTCAGTTAGTAATTTTCTATTTGCAGTTTTTTTCCTAACTTGTCGCACATGGGCTCTCTCTAGGTAGGTTTGACAACATAAACGAGAACTAACAATGAAAAAAAGTCTCATAAAGGATGTATTAAGTTCAATTTAAATTTAAACATTTAAAATCTATAGGCCAACGTTGTTAAAACTCAAAGTTGTATCTGATAAATTTAATAAACCTAAACTAGAATGAATAAGCAGTTGTACTTTTATTAACACTAACATTAATAAAGGTTAATTAAAACTGTGACAAATGTATTGTTAATAATTAGTCAATGCATTAATATTTTCATGTAAAAACGAATGAAAAACTATAACTAATGTACAACAAATAAGAAAAAGTTAGAACAGTGTGGAAAACACTAATAAAAAATCTATACCATAACAGACCTTGGCTTTTGGACTTCATGCTGGTAACAATCTAGATGATCCTTTTCTTCTTTGATCAGGAGCGCACATCATCAATTTCTCCCAAAAAAACACCTGAAATACTAATTCATCTGGATGCCTCCGAGCCCAGAGAAGTAAATGGCACTTCTGGACACTGTTAACATAGGGCTTCTATTAGGCACAGTTCAGTTTTAACTGGCAATTGTGAATGCAACCACATATTGTGATATTTGAGGCATCAGGGATCAAGGTTGTTTAGCTTAGGTTTGCACCCTTTACAAACTGAAACTTCTCCAGATTCCCTGAATCTTTTAATTATGTTATGCACTGTTGAAGGTGAAATATCCAAATGTATTCCCATCTTTCTTTAAGGAGCATTGTTTTTAAAGGACCACCAAATCCCCATATCAGAAGGGTGTTTTCACACCTCTAGTTTGAAAAAAGTCAGGAAAGTGGGTGCGTCTAGCTCTCTTTAGGTAGGTGTGTCAGGGGAGGGAAAGAGGAAAAGTTTTGAACAAAAAATGAGAGTTTCCGTTTGGGCATGCACGGATTTTAACAGAGGAAAAACAAACGGAAGTAAACAGTGACTGCGTTTACATGGACATCAGTAATTGGATTATACCACACAGCGAATGGGGAAAAAAACTCTGCATCACGTAGTAGGTAGCACTGGAAAGCTGTGTGTGTATAGACTATCCTGTCACAAAATGCGGTGAAAATTCTACACAACAGTAATAATTAAACGCGTAGGCGTTTATATGTTTACATTCGGAGAGCAGCATTTACAGTGGATCTTTCAGTCCATAATATTGTAGTGATATTAACATACTGTACACTTAGTAACTACATAATTTTGACTAAGGTATGTCTTTAAAAACTGAAAGAGGACTGCTGACAAAACTAACTAACTTTGCCATCTGAATAAACAAAGACCACTGATTGCTTACTTACCAAATCTGTAGAGACAGGACAATCAACACCCACTGGATCCGCATCTTTTTAAAAAGAAGACGAGCAGCAAATGCAGATTTCACCATTTCCAGATGTGAAAAGCTCTCGGGTAAAAAAATGTTCCTTACAAACATATTTCTGTCACGTGCACTGTAGTCCACACGTGAGCCCAGCTGCTCTCTCATAGCAGGGAAATGAAAACAAAACCTTCGTTGCAGCACATTTAAAAACGACCCCGTCTTCAAACAATTATTCTTCTTCCACTTGTTTTGGCAACAAAACATGTCATCTCTCTGCCGTCTGAACACTGTAACAAGTCTTCGAAGCTATCATGCATATTAATGAAGTCGCACCACATTCACAATAGAGTGCGCTGATTAATTTGAAGTCTTTCTCTTGAATTAATGCTGCACACTCAGAGACTACACAATGTACTCGCCGGTACAGACATGCAGTCTCCACGCTGGAATACACACAAGGATCGCAGCGCAGTGACGCAGCTCCAAAAATTCGATTCAAACCAGAAGAACAAATTTGCTCTAAATAATGTAAAATAACCAATTGTGTCCTAATAGTGTTTTTAGCAGCATGGGACACATAAATGACTGTCAACATCTCAAAATATGTGTTTTGGTGTTTTGTGACCCTTCAAACATTTTAATAATTCTCTCACGTATTTGTTAACAAAACTGGGAATCCTTGGCCCGTGTTTGCTCCTATAGACCTTTCTTGGATGCTGCTATTGTAGCAAATCATAATTACAATGACCTGACATCACCTGTTTCAAATCACATCATTATTTAACCAATTAACCTGATTACTAGCCCATAACTGCTCCTATCCCAACTTTTTTGGGAAATGTGTTGCA